ATCTCGCAAATCTTGATGAGTCTCCCAGTCACACCCAAGCCTCCCGTGCCTAAGGGCTCCGCTCCCCCAGCTTCAGCAGACTGCCAGACCCGTCATCCTGTGTCACCCACGGCCACACAGGCACATGGCGGCTTCATCCTTGGCTCCCAAGGTGCTTGCTCGTGCTCACTCCCCAGACAGTCCCTGTCTCTAGGCTGCGTGTGGCATGGTCCCAGACTCAGGCTGTGACCATGAGACAGGGGACAGGGTGTCCCTGCTGCACCCTGCGTGCTGTCCATCACACTGCTACCTGGACCCAAGTGGGCGGAGGCTGAGGGGCCCACCGAAGACCCACTTGCCGGGACACCCGGCCCTGACCATTGTCCAACCCTTCCCGGGTCTCACGCACTCCCACGTGGCCCCAGACCGAGACCTTGAACCCCAGGTGGTGATGGGAAGCTCCTTCCCTACAGCCCTTCCCAGCCCTGCTCCTCCTCCGCCCCTCCCCCACCCTCTCCGGCACCCCAGCCTTGCCCACAATTAACTCATTTTTTGAGATCGCTTCCAAACATAAGTCAACACTGGACAGAGCTGTAGGAAAAGCTTCCTCAACGCTGGCCCAGAGGAGCCTTGTGGTGAGCCCAGCCTCTTGGCTGTCCCCCACCCCCCGCCTGCTGTTGGCTTGGGGCTGGGGCCCTCTGAGGGCTGGCCCTGGGACTTGGTCAGACATTCTCTTCTTTGACACTTGCTCCACCCTGGTGTCCCTGCCCCCAGGCCTGGCCTCCTTTCCACCTTGTCCCATCCTGACCTACAGGTGCCCCTCCGAGCCACAGGGCATGTGAGGGTGTGGGGGCACCTCGGGAACCCCTGATGACAGTGGTTACACTGGGACCTGGGGCTCTTAGCCAAGAAGTCTGGGGATATCTGTGAGATGGCCTTGCTCAGGCCACTGTCAGGCTGCCCAGGCCAGGGGTCCCTGAAGAGATGGCAGCCCCTGGTCCACACACACTCCAATCTGGGGTGGGGGCACAGCCAGGGGGTCACAGGACATGGAACCCCCTCCAGTTCATTTTATTTTTTAAAAACTTTTAAATGTATTTTTTTCATTGATTTCAGAGAGGAAAGGAAAGGGAGAAAGAGAGAAACATCAGTGAGAGAGAATCATGGATTGGCTGCCTCCTGTACGCCTCCTACTGGGGATCGAGCCTGAAACTTGGGCATGTGCCCTTGACCAGGAATTAAACCGTGACCTCCTGGTTCATAGGTTGATGCTCAACCACTGAGCCACATGGGCCGGGACCCCTCCATTTTATGAAGGAGATCATAGAGGTCTGGAGAAAAGGGCACTGCCCAGAGGTAGGCAAGGTGCTGGTAGAAGGACCAGGAGCTGAGATGTGTACCCCAGCGCCCATGCCCAGGTCACCCTGTGGCCCCAAGGGCTGGGTCCAACTAGCCCCCTTGGCTCTGCCCATGTGTCTGTTTCCCCTGGAATTGGGAGACCTCAGCATTGGCGCACAGGTTCCCCAAAGTGCCAGAGCCGCCATTGCCCAGGTAGTCTGGCACCTACCCCCTCTCCCGAGGACCCGAGGCCTGGCCCCTCTCCTTTCCCAGCCACGGAGGTAGGACCTGGCAGCCTCGGGTGGGCAGCCTGCTCTGCGGTGGGCCTCACAGGCCCGCTGTGTGTGGAAACAGAAGCCTCATTCATGGGGGCCACTGGGCTTGGGCCAGTGGAGAATAAATGCGGGCCTTACGGGAAAGTAGCGAGAGCGCTGAGGCCCAAGAAAATATCAATCTGCCTTTCTCTTCAGGTGGGAGCAAGGGATGCTGGGGAAAGTGGGGAGCAAGGCCTGGGGAGGTGTGTTTGGAGGGGGTTCCCTGGGGGAGGGCCAGGGTGTGGAGAAACTCGGAGCACTGCAGCCAGGGCCAGGAGCTCAGGGAGCGGGACGGTCCAGTGCCATCCGTGGTGTCCCTTCCTGCCAGGGCCACCGCTCCCACCGCTCCCAGCTATTCATTCTCTCTGCCGATGCAGGCGCCCTGCGTGGCCTGCGCACAGTGGCCATGAAGACCATGCTGCTCCCTGTCCTGGCTCTCTGGGTGGGGTGCTGCCCTGGAGGGGCCCTGGCTAAGCAGAGACTGAGCCTGAGAGAGCCCATGGCCCCACCAACCCCCACGGGTTTGCCCGCCCTGCAGCTGCTGCTGCCCATCATGCCTGGGCGTCCCGATGGTGAGTAGGTGGCACCAGCAAGAGGAGGCTGGCAGGAGGGGAGTGCCCTGTTCCACCAGTGGAACCCCTCAGGGCTGGGGCAGAGGGAAAAAAAGCTGGTCACCCAAGGTTGCCCACCTTGGGTGCGGGAGGGGGCCTTAGAGGGGCCCATGGCCTCAGGGAACCATCCCCGGAGGGAATGGGGTGGACTGCAGATTCTTAGAAAGTCCCATGCCCATCCCGCAGGGTGGGAGCAAGGGAGGTAAGAGCCCCCTGCCCAGGAGGGGCCACTGTACTGGGACTGGAAGAATGGATCTGGATTTGCTGGTTGGGGAGCTGAGCTGGCTGTGCTGGGCCTGCTGGGTAGACTGAGAGAAGCATGGGAGGTTGGAAGTGGGGGGCCCGGGGCTGGGGTGGGGCGGCACAAGGGGCCCCAGGAAACCAGCTATGGTGTGGCCACTGGCTGTCGGCCCACCCCCAGGCCTGGGGGTGGGGCAGGAAGGGCCAGGGGTGGACCTGCAGGGAGGCTTATGGTCAGTACTGGTTAAACGGGGCTGCCACACAGTGGAGGGGAGGCCTGGGGGGCTATTTTCCCTCCTTGCCATTGCTGGTGGCCCCTTTAAGTGGCCTCTGGGCTTGCCTTGCCCCCAGCAACCTCCCCTCCCAGCAGGCATTGGGGCTTCCACTTCTGAAAACAAGCTTACAGGTGGCAGTGACCCGTTCGGATCTCCAGAGGCTATGCCCACCTCCTGCCCAGGCAGCACCCACAGGGCCCCAGAGGCATAGGAGCAGGCCCAAGACCTCTGCCCAGGTCACTGAAACCCTCCTGTGCCCACCCCAGGGGCCTACCTATGCCTTGTCCTGAGAAGATGGAGGGTCCGCAACAGTAAAGAGCTGCCTCAGTTCTGAGAGGCGGGCAGGGTGACTCTGGTGCTAGGGGTCCCCGACGCTGGGGCCATGAAACCAGGAAATCTCTGACACTTGGTGGTCTTGGGGGTCTGTGACAAAAGGATGGGAGCCCCTGGAGAGAGGACAGAAAGGCAGAAGTGAGGCCTGGGCACACAGAGAAAGAGAAAGGGCGCCCTAGCCAGGTTGGGTCAGTGGATAGAGCCTTGGCCTGGAGATGCAAGAGTCCGGGTTTGATTCCGGTCAAGGGCATGTACCCCGGTTGCAGGCTTCTCCCTGGCCTAGGCCCTGGTTGGGGCTTGTGCAGGAGGCAACCAATCCATGTGTTTCTCTCACATCGATGTTTCTCTCTCTCTGTCTTTCCCTCTCTCTTCCGCTCTCTCTAACAGTCAATTAAAAAACATCCTCAGGTGAGGATTTAAAAAAAAAAAGAAAGAGGGAGGGCTTCCAGCCTGTAGCTGACCCCCAGCTAGGGGGAAGGTGTGGCCTCTCAGCCATTCAGGGGTCCTGGCCATCCCAGCCTGAACCAGCTCCTTCTGCAGGGGGCAACCCATTCCCAAGAATGGTGGCTGGGACAGGCCTGAGGACGGGCAGCTGTGCTGGGCACAGGTGTGGCCCACCTCCGAGAGGGTGCCCATGGAGCCCCCACCCAGCCCCCCAGACCCAGCTGGAAGGCCCCTGCCAGGCCAGGGCTGGCCCAGAGGAGTCACCCCAAGTAGCCTGGGAGCTAGAGTAGGCCCTGCCCCAGGCCGTAGCTGCAGTGGGGGCTGAGGCAGCAGGGCCTCAGGTGGCCAAATTCAGGCCCTCGAGGATCAGCAAGACCCCCTTCCGTCCCCCCTCCAGTGCAAGAGGGCACAGTGGCTGCTGAGAGGCCGGGACAGGAAGGCAGGGGGCTGGGAGGATAGGAGAAGGGGCCTGAAGCCCGGGAGGCACCTCAAAGGTGAGGACTGGCCAGGACAGGTAGCCCCCAGGTGGAACTGTGGGGGTGACAGGCTGTGTGTGAGTCTGAAGAGGCCTTGACTTGGTCCAGCCTCTACCAATCACACCAGTGTCACCAGCCACTGAGACCCCACCCCATTCTCAATGTGCCCAAGCCTAGACCCTCGAGTGTGGGGCCAGAGGGGATCTCTCTAAGGCAGGGCTCCTTCCCACCCTCAGCCCCAACTGGGGACT